CTGGATCGTATTACGAGAGTGTACTAGTTGAGCAGAATTGAACGAATCAAGCGATTCTTAGTTATCGAGTAATTGAGTTTTCTTCTTGTTACGGAAAAGAAAATAAGTTCTCAAGTATTTATCTTGAGGACGATTCTTTAACTAAAAATTAGGACAATCATTTTTGCTGATGGGTTGCATATTGTCGTGGAGGAAAGATCTAATCACATAGTTTGAGAATAGATATTTGAAAGGATATTTATTTGATCAATGTTTATTAATAAATATTTTATATCTGTTAATAATAAGTACAAGTGGTTTAAGAAGTTTAAATTATATATATATATCTATATTTTTTTGATTCTTGCTCTGCATTAAAATAGATCAAAATCATTATGTCATTGTAGAGTATTAATATTGGGAATTTAAGAGAGGTTGAGAAATAAAATAGCCCTCAACATTGATAAGTATCATTTTTTCTTCGAGCATTCCGAAGTTAGCCCTTAAAAAAATCTTGATAAAATTCTATTTTTTAATACTTTGGATTGATAACTCGTTTATATAATCTTTTGTTAGAAATTTTATTATATTCAGGAGCCGTTTCACCGTTTGTTTCTTTGTATTTAATTAAACAAACACAAAAGGGTCAAAATTGCCTAATATTGCTCTCTTACACCAATACACCTCGACAAAGCTTCCTAAGTATTAATATAGACCTTGCACGGAAATGAGAGGAGAAACGCCAATTGATCTGCTAATCCGCGAAAGCCTCTCAAGATTCGAACATCCTCGATTCACAGAGGCTTTCGAAGGGTCAGTAAATGGTACATATAGCTTTATGTACGATCTAAAGAAAGGGCATGTACACGAGGTATAAATCTGTCATATTTAAGACTCTTCTTTTTTCGACGAGATTATCTCTGCTCGCATTAAAGAGGGCGCCATTGAAAGAGAATCACGAGGACATTTGGTAAAATTAACCTAACCTCTTCTTTCCTTCTCTGTTCTTCCCTGATTCTTTCTTCTTTTTTTTTTTTTCTTTTTTTGATTCAATTTTTATCTGACATTCTAACGAGATGTCGAACATTATGGAGGAAAGATCTAATGATATTGTAATTGAAATTCCATTGAAAAGAATATCAGTTTCTTCCATTTAATATTTCACGTGTATTCAGAGGGAAAGGATACTAGCGCACTCTACACACAACGAGTAAAATTTAATTATTGGATGTTTCAATATTCCCCGAGGGAGTTCAATTTATCTCGTGTGCAGAGTATTTGCGGCACGTCAGGTGGGTTACCTTTAACATTAGAGAAATGATTTATAATTAAATGTCTTTGTAACGTGTTGTGGATGTTTCGCACCTCGTGAGAGGATTTTAACAACGGGATTCGCGTGGGAAAAATTTAAAATGGTGGAAGCAATGTTTTAAGATAAATTTGTTAAATTTGTAAAATTTCCTATGACATTAAAGATATTTTCATATTATATGTATGTACGTGAATTATGAAAACGTGTAAAAATAATGAATATTTTTTTTATTTTCAAAAATATTTCAACTTTTTTTTTTTAAAACAAAATGTCATTGATATTATTAAATATCATTAAACCATATTTTGGCTAAGTTCCATTCATTAAATCTTTAGAAACAAATTTTTTTAAAAAGTAAATCGGTTGTATTCTATATTTTTGATTGATTTTTGCATAAGAGATTCGTCTTTTATCATTCTTATGATTATATCATTTAAAATATAGAACTGTTAATGAATAAGTATCTTTTCTTTTTTTAAATAAAATTTTCAAGTTTCACATAATTATATTCCGGAACAATATCATATCTAATTAATAAAACCTCGTTTCATCAAAAGCTTTTGACGAGTACTAATATTACTAATTAATTAATTAATTAATTCTACAGAAATAAAGAAAAATATAGAGTTAATTTAATTACATTTTTTATTAATTAATTGTATTGTATTATATTTACGTTGAATCAACCAATGAATTATGTGTGTGGATTACACTCAATAATGTTTCACTGAAATAATAAATATTATTATTTAAGTTATAAAGGCTAACAAAGAATAAAATTTCTCTTGAATGTACTAAAAACCTGTATACGATTCTTGAAAGCATTAGGCCCAAGTGGAAAATGTTTTTTGGCGCGTTTCGACCTGACCTCGACACATTTAGTCATTCTTTCGCCATTTATTTCATCGCGTAGATATGAAGTACATCCATCCTCACAAAGATTTCAGAGTCTTTTTCTATTTTTGTCAAAGATATTCTTTGGTTAAGATTTTATTTTTACAATATGTCAGTTTTCGTGTTACTATTTTTGACGAGGTAATAATTTTTCTTTAAAAAAAAATATACGTATTATTTCGTTACGAATATTATTTGTGAAACGATGAATATTTTCAATATTTTCGATATATGCATTTATACGAATTAATGCTGTATTTATACAATGCACTTTCGATACGATACTAATCGCAGGAATTATAAACTTTCATTATAATGCGATTTCGATTATTCGTATCGAAATTTCATACATAGAACAGTAAAATTTCGATAAATAGCTTAATCTGGTAAATTTTGGAAACGAATAGTAAAATCCTCCATACAAATTTCTCGTAATAAAATTTTATTGGAAAAAAAAAATTTTTAGAATTCAATTTCACTAATGGAAAATATTTGTTAAACACACTATTTTCCCTGCACGTGTAGCGTAGAATTTAACACATTTATGATTTTAGAATAAAATTACTAGATCTATAAAACAATACTTTATACTTACTTTTTTCCAAATTTCGAAGAATATGGCATAACGACGTAATTTAAAAATTAGAATAATTTATCGATTTATTTCAATGAAACTCGTTCATGAGAGCAATATATATATCCGACTAGTTAAACGGTAGTAGTGGCTCTTAAAAAGCCACGATCCCTGGCACCTGTGCCTCTTTTGTGAACGAGACAATCCTGGATCCCTCAAGTGATGTTCATGGGACATCATGATCCGTGGGGTCGGTTTAATGGGTGTCCCTGTGGTGCGGTCACGTGGCCTATATATATACATATATCTCTATACCGTATATAAGTGCGGTTACCTACACCGTATGGGGTGACATACCATTAATAGTATAGTGAATGGTCGTGAATGACGTCATTTTGAATGATTTACAGGCTTTGGAATCGACTTAATTACAAATGGGATCGGAAACTGTATCATCAATATTTTAGATGAATTTTCAGGAACAATATTCCTATTTCTTTCATTTACACGAGATGCACTTTATTGTTCTGCAAAAGAAAAAACAAAGACATAATAAGACAAAATAATACAGAATCAATTATCACTTAAATAATTTCAATAACTTTACAAAAAGAAATTTCCTCATCGATGTACATATGCACACAAATATGTCATCTAAATACTAATTACACGAGTGCAAACACCATCGGATCTGCTACTTCTCATCAAGCAACACTCGCTCATAATTATTTCACGAAACCAAGGAGGGTAACACTGGATAGATGGGGGAGGGAGAACGGGTATAAAACATCCGTGGAAAAAAAGAGGAGACGGAGGGAGGTGGAGCGGAGGAGGAGATGGTGCACAGAGTTGTCCCTATGGGATGGTCACGTGGCCTATATACCATAGGAAGGTAGGGTCTGTATGTACGGCTATGGATAGCACATGACGGTTCCCCATAAATAGTCGGGTGGACGCCGGAATTTCCATTATATCGCGTACGTAGCCCCCATAAACAATATCATCGAAGTCCACGCCGAAATGGCGTTCCCCATTAGGTGGTGTTTGCCTGCAATATTTATTACGGCCACGGTCATTGTGATACGCGGGATTTATGGCCGGGTTTTGTGTTGAAAATCTGCGGCTCGCTTTTGAAACACCGTTTCGAGATGGTTGGAGGAGGGGGAGAAGTTGGAAAATAGTCGAACGATTTCGAGGTTGTGGACGGGTTTTGGAACGTTAACATCGCGAAGCACTCGATCTTCGAGTTTGCGAGCACGCATTCCAATGAACGTGCGCTCGATATTTTATCGTCGTGTTGGGGGCGTCGATGCTCGTCGACTATGCGAGAAGGGTAGTTTCAGCGATAGTTGTAATCACGTTCAATTAACGGCATGGGAGTGCATGTAACTGGGAGGTGATATATTTCGAAGTTGTCGTGGACAGTCGTAAACCCGCCCGTTCCTGCAAATTTAACGATGTTATTTGCGTTTTTTTTTCTTCTCGAATCGGAATTTTTGTCAAATAAATTAACCGGGTTCTTTTTGTTTTTTTTTTCATCATTTTCTTTATTCTACGTAATTCCAAATCTTTTTGTTTCATAATAATATTTTTTATTCGTTTGATTTTAAGATTTATCCGTATATATTTTTTTTTTCTTGGTCAAAGAGATATTCCCCGATATATTATTATTTCCATTTGAATAAATCGTTTATGACAGTTTTATTGGTGATCCGTGGCAGAGGCTCAAGCCACAATGATATGGCCGATTGTTTCAAGATATCATTTCGACCGCAGGTGTTGATGCTTTTGGCTCGGTTGCTTGTTACACGAATATTTCATGAGCTCAACGAGTAAGTTCTGCGTCACCCTTCGTAAATGATTCACTCTATAGGAGTGGCGTCTATAAATATATCTCGGAATTACGGTTTCAGAAATTTTATTATTCTTTTTATTCATATCTTTGTTATATTTTATATTAGTTACTCTATGCTATTTGATGATCTTTGTGGACAATTCGTATTGTCCGAATGAATTTCAATATTTATAGTTGCACAATTTAAAAATTTGTTGATCAACGATCGAAAGAAATATAGGGAAACGATTAAACAATTTCATTCATAACGTGTATCTACAATTTCAATAAAAAAATTCGATTGAATTAAATAAATTTATAAAACTAACTTATTAAAAAGTTTATACTTGAATTGAAATTTATTATTTCGAATATAATTACTAATTCATTATTTTTATTTGAAATTTCAAAGAGAATAGAGAAGCTCGATGAAATTGTTTGATTGAACAAGTTAAAAAAACTTCATATTCGATATTTGCACTTCATAAAAATTACCTCAATTAATCTATAACTCATTCAAAATTCTAATCTATTTTTCACTTGCTTCGTCTACTTCGAATTAACCGTTTCTTTGCATCCACGTTGGATCCATGGCTTCTTAATGCCAATCAACTCAAAGAAAATTCAATCCTCAACAACGTTTATTAATTAAACACGAAAACGAAATTATCAGCGGGCCAAGTGTGTCGAGGCTCGGTGTTGCATAGAAGTTCACGGTTTGTTTAACAATTCCCGTGATCCACCATCCGAATTCTCCCTTGATTAATGTATGCTCCTAGTTTCGTCTTGAGCTCCTTGAAGATCGGCAAAGGCAGGCTCCTCTCTCGGGACCAAATCATGACGAACTTGTATCCCTGGTGGTGTGCCGTACCCTTGGAGCAGACCAACATCCCGAGAACCGTGTCGTACTTGACAGAGATTATAACGTGACGAAAAGGCCCTGGGAATAAAATAAAATTGATAAACTTGTTCGCTTGTCGAACCGTTTCGACGGGATAAAATTTTCTGTGAAGATCGATCCAACATCTTTCATTTTGTACAGAATCGATAATATGTGATTGAAAATATTAGTTTTATTGTCTACAGTTAAGGTCTCTACTCTAGTTTATTTATTTCTATCGAGCAAAAAGAAAAATTTACCTAATTTTCTCTTTGATCCTTGAAATTGCCAAGTTGCGGCAATATCTTTCCCATTTACGCTTCCATCGATGTTGACGGCAATTGGAATGTTGTTCTTATAACTGATTGCCGTGAATTTCGCCGTGAACGTGTTCGAAGATGTTTGGCTGACCAGAAACTGTCCACATCTACTCAGGCTTGCGTTTATCGGTATTCCAGCAGAGAAATACCATTTTCCTGAAAACTGATATTGGAATAGAGATTCGATATTCGTTTTATTCGTCGCTCGTTATTTTTTATTTCTTCTCTTTTGTTCAATGAGAAATTTCCACTAGAAAAATTTTAATCGTTCTTTCGTTGTTCCCTTTTTCAAAAATATTTCGAGAACTCATTGCAATTGAACGCAGGTACACATAAAAAATGATTCAATCAAATTTGTTTCGTCACATTTTTTTGTAACGTCAGAAATTTCTCTATTATCTAATATACCTCGTCGATTTCCCTTTGTGCGCGTAATAGTGATGGTATATCCGAATTAGAATCGTGCGTACGCATGCGAGTTTGGAAATTAATGCGTACAATTGTGCGTAACGATCCAATATTGACAAGATTCGTGCTCACGTTGAACCGATGATTCCAAATTTATGTGTGTGGATATAGATATGTCATATTCATGGATATCACATGTTCGACGAAACGAACTGGCTTTGAACTGGCCTTATGGATGTGATTATGCGAATGTAATCGTGTTTCTGTTTGTGCACGGTGACAAATATGCTGTTATAGTAATTGAGGGATCAGCTAATCATACAAGATAATCGATATAATATCGTATTCCTCCTATATATATGCTAAACATTTATTAACAAATAATCACATTTAATCACATTTTCTTTGTGCTTTTATAATTTGAGACACGTGTAAATTGCGAGAATACTTACACTTCTGTTTTTCTATTATTATTAGGAAGAATAAAATATTTGTATCAACAAGTTGTGAATATTAGATTAGGAAGGTATGCAATTGATAAAAGTAATCGTATTCTGTCTTCGTTACACCATGGTATCCTCTATCTCCACCTCGTTTCATCTAACACAAATTGCTTACAAATTAATAAATAAGCCTCAACTTTAGTATTTTATGTATCAATTTTGACATTTAGATTCAGAGTTTCTCGCGAATATATTAACACTTTTTTTTTTCTTAATTCATCTTTAAAATATTTGTATTACTATAATTTACTGGACACATTGTATATCACGACTAGACGACTATAACACTCACTATAATATTTCTGACAAATTACGAGAAAATATAAAAAAATTAGTAAAACAAAATTTTTACCCCATTTCTATAACTTGTATAAAAATTTTAATTCGAAATTCTAATCGATTTCGACACGACACGTATCATCTACGTATTATCCTCTGCTTAAATTAACGTGGAACGGAATCGATACAAACATTACCTGACCCAAGTGCAGCGGCTGTCCAATATCAGGGGAGCACGGTGTGCAATGGCATATGAAACACGCGAGCGTGCAAATCACCGCCGGAAGTATATCACAGGCGCGCAACATTTTTCGAGGAATTGTTCGCGCACTTTCCACGCGAGGACTGGCTATGTTGGAGACCGTAAACGGGGATTTCAACTCCGATTTATCTACGAGGCATTGCTCGTACGAGGGTTCGTCGAACGTGAATATATCGCGACACAGGCGGCGGCGAACGCGTGCTCGTGCTTAAATACCCGTGACCGTTCTGTTTATCGACCCTCCTCCTATTTACGTACGCTCGCATGGCGCTCTGTAAACCGGATTTGTCTTCGGCCTCTCTTCGTTTCTTGAGAATTACGAGAGGCGAGATCAATTACGTTCATGGAATTTACGCTTGTTGAAATTGGGGGGCGCGGGAATTGAAATGGCGAGATGGCGATATATATCTGCGATGATGTATCTGCGAAACGCGTGTGGGGGCGTGTGCGTGATTTCGCTGCGTGATTTGGTCGGATTATTTATGGGATTTGGTACACGGTGGAAATATTTGTTTTCTGATAACGTAAAAAGTTTTCTTTATTCTCTTGGAATGTTCGTGGAATAGAGTAGTTTATTTATTTAAAGGGGACAAGGGAAGGGGGGTGACAAAGGTGAATTAGCTTGTTTCGAGAAATTTAGAAACGGTATCGAAGAATTAATGGTATTGCAGAAATTACACGAATTCATTTCTCGAAAGTATATTTCAGATAGAATGCTATTAGTTTATTTTATATTTCTGTCAAACATATATTTAATTATTTTGTTAATTAGATATTTTATTAATTTTAAAACAATTTAAAATTCTTTCTTTATTATTATACACATAATTCATATAATAAAAATTGATCGAAGGATTAATATATATTATGCATAAAATTAGAAAGTCAATAATTAGCAAAATTCTAAATCATAAATTACTTGGCCAAAATCATATTATTATAGAGTGGTAACTTTTCAAACTTACTTGATAGTCAATCTTTTAATCCCTGTTTGTGAAATGATTCTGCAAAATCTTCAACCTCTTTGTAAGAGAAAACTGCGTTTACTGTTTCTACGAAAATCATAATAATCATAATAGTTTACTATCAACGGTAATACGAGGAATATACTCCAACAATCGATTCTATCGCTGGTTTATCATCAATGAGTATTTATCTATCTCGACAACCAGAAGATAGTGAGAGCTAAGAATAACATTTTGTGATATTTCTGCGATAATTGTTAATTCAACTGCATGCTTTTATCTTTTGACTCGCTCAGAGAGATGAAATTTATCTTATTTTTCGTACAGAAAATATTCTCTGTTATTTTGTGTGTATATTAGTACTGTCGAGCAGATAAAAATTAATAAAACATTGGAGAATAAGAATTGTTAAATTAATCTGATCTCTTAAACGTAAAAATCTCGTAAATGACATTTCTAATTTCAGAAACATACGTAATAAAAATCTGTATGCTTTGATGTTCTTAAACAGTTCTTAAACGTTTCCAATATATTTTTATCTGTCTCATCGACGTATAATAAATAATAAAAATGAAATTTTCTACGTATATTTCGACAATATATTATAAAAACCAAAAGAATAATTCCAAAAAAAAAAAAAGAAAAAAAATTAAATATAAATGAAAGATACTCGAGGATCGTAAAATGTGAAATTTTTTTGAAACGAAAAATCCCTAAACATCTCTTAATACCCCCGAGATACCCCCCGTTTAGAATCCCCGTTTCGTCGAACTTTATTGAATCGTTCTGCCTGTCTTTTGTTTCCGGCACGCGATCTTTCTTCGAGGGGCTGTTGGAGCGGACACCGTTACGGTCCAGTTTAATTTATTTGCCGTCATTATTACGTCGTGATTAAACCGACCGTCTCGATTGTCCGGGGGGAGATTCCACTCTGCGGGGGGCGAGCGAGGGGGTCTGACTTTCGGTTTAATTAAAAAAACCAGTGATCACCGGTTTCCAGAAGTCCCTTGGTCATACTCTTTTTACCCGCGCGTGGGAATCCCTTTCGAGGTCTCCCGGATATTTCCACCAATCGAGTGGAAGGAAGCGTTTTCCTATTCTGACCAATTTGTTTTCATCCGTGGAACGATCTTAAATTAAGGGAAGGGTCGACGGGATGTTTGTTGGACGAGCGAACGCGATCGTGGAACGAGAGGTTTATAGATGGATGGTCGAATGGTATAGGTGCTATTGGGAGAATTTAAATCAACATACTTATGAAATATAAAATCGTGTAAAATTGAATTATAAATAAATTTCAAACTTTTCGTTTATTCACAGGTTTTACGTCCTACTTTTAGAAAGTTAAAGTTTTTCAAATTTTTCCAAGCCGACACTTCCGTTCATTCGTGCAGGAAACAGCGAAGCAACGTACATTATTTTGCCAAATAAATCTCTGAAACGGAGATTTAAACGTTTTAGCAACGAAAACAAAAGGGCGTAATTAGAATGAGGTGGGTGGTCACGACAGAACGCGATAATTGGAAAATCGTTGGGATAAAAGGTTGCTCGCTAACGAGTCGTCGTATTTTCCTTTTTTTTTTTTCTCGAGTCCATATCCATGTCAGGATACGAGAAGGATTGGAGAAGGAAGGTTCGTTCTGTAGGAAGATACGTATATTTTCACAGCTACGTCAAGACGTGGAGAGAGAGTTTCTAACAAGGTGACCGCAATCTAGCCAGAACAGCACCCAATTAGCGATGACCCGGCTCAATTTCACTGGTCCTTAAAACTATGAAATTAGTTCTCTCAGTCTTTCCCTTGGAATCACCCTTTTCCATCTCTCCGTTCCTTTCTCTGTTTATCTCAACTCTCTCTCTCTTTCTCTTTCTCTTTCTTTTTACGCTTTCGCGGAAGTTGGAACAATGATGTTGATGATGCTTAGTGAAATGACTTGCTTATTCGGGAAGAAAGAAATTTTTGCAGCTGTAAAAACGGTGCGAATTTATAATAGTATATAATCGGTGATATTTGCTATTGGAAAAGGATCACAAAAAGTTGAAAATTTTGAAATTGTTTAACAGAGGATTTATGATTAAACGATTAAATGAATAACAAAATTCATTATTCATCGATTATTAACGATAAAAATATGTTTTTTTGAGAAAAGAAAAGTGTATAGTATATTTTATAATATTTTGTAATTAATATTACATATATACAACAGGAATTAAAGATTTTCCAATCAGTTAATAAAAGAAAAATAATAATAAAGTAATACAAAAATGAATAAAGTAAATACACTAATTCTTTCCATTTCTTTTATCACTTCTCGACGCGACAAGATAAATAAAATAGCGGCATTAAAGCCACTATCCGTGCAAAAATCACTTCCACCCTTTTGCCCACTGTGTAAAGAGATCCCAAGATGAAAAGAATCGTTGTTGAAACGATGGTCTCTGCGATTCGTTTTGGAGAACTTTTGCAAATGTTTCGTGGCTATGAAAATTTTCCGGTATAATGGAAAGACGAAGGAGAGAGTAGGTCGTGGATGAAAATAGAAGAAGAAGAAAAAGAAGATTAATGTAGAGGAGAGACTGTTCTGTATAATTACTTAATTAAATTCATGCATCACGCGGTATTACGGGAGGCACGTTGCGATTTCGCCCTTTGTAACGACCCTTTTGATGCGAAACTCCTATCCTGATGGTATCTCTAGCCTCCCTTCGAAACGGTTACTACGATCCAATTTCTGACTCATTGATATTGGCCAGGAGATCCTGATAGAGGGTACGCATCGATGACTGATATCGTGATTCTTCTTTGGGTAAACGGAATCGTTTAATTATGTGAATTATTTGGAGAAGATAAGAATTTTTCTAGGTGGAAGAAATTAGGTAAAACGTTTGATTCTCTTTGATATTTGTATTATTTGTTAGGATTGGTGATTTTTATTCTTCGTTTATTTTTGGAAAAGGAAATTGTGGAATAGTCGATGTTAAAATATTGAAATAATGTAATTTAATTTAGAAATATTGTTCATTAATATTTCTTTCTTCTTTTGCTTTTGAATATCTGAAAATATTCGAAGATTTAAATTTCTAATAGATTCCTTCAGAATAGATAGAAAGCTATCTTTCAAGTAGTTATTCAATTTACATAGTTTCTTAAAAGATTTCGAGATTCAAATTCCTCTCCATCCCCTTCTATCGATCTAAATTCCTTCCATCACATATTCTTCCTGAGCTGGGGAAAATTTAACACGAATTAAAACAATCAAAAGAATTAAAATATCACAATCGAATAATTATTATAATTCGCTTAACAAATAAAACTTCAAATATATTCATAATCATTTCAAGATAGTATTGTAAGAATAGATATTTTCCTCACCCATGTCGAATTCCTCGTACAAGAATTCCAAGAACAACTTTTCCAAGAACGAGATAAAAAGCACCCCCATATCGATGCGCGACGCGATTCATATCTCAATCTGAGAGACACGCAAATGCGCAAACAAGTCGCATACGTCACACTTAACACCCGGGGGTGGTTTGGATGGGCTGATATTGGGATCCACGCACACCGTCTTCCGCGACCGTAATACCCTCGAAGCATTTGAATCAATTACTGCCTCGGGGTTCTTAGGCTGCCCCTATCCCACATTACAAACGGGTAGTCCGGCGCAAAGTGAATTAATTAAGTGTCCGTAGGTACGAACGAACCGACATTGCCCTCGTTCAACGTCTACGGGATACTCGCGGATCCGTTACGACCCGTTTCGCGATAGGTCTCTGCGCTTATGAACCCCGAAGCATCGTATCCTAACCGCTAGTGATGGGATTAAGTACGTCGTAAACAAGGTTTGAACGGATATCAAATTAATATCCTTTATAAATATTAGATCAGCCTGTATAAATGTCGATTAATAAATATAGAAACTTAATTCTCGGTTGCAAAGAATTCTTGACCGCTAGTGATGGGATTAAGTACATCGTAAACAAGGTTTGAATGGATATCAAATTAATATCCTTTATAAATATTAGATCAGCCTGTATAAATGTCGATTAATAAATATAGGAACTTCTCGGTTGCAAAGAATATTTTCTTATTCGATATAGAATTGAAATTAAATTAAACCGATGAATTTTGATTGAACGATGATTGGTGAACAGTAGAGAGAGTCAATGATAAGGAAAGAGTTAGG